GTTTCCTTTTTAGCAGCGGCACAGGACCAGCCAAGGCCCTGCTCGCGCTTGTGCACATGGATGTGGTAGGGCCTACTAGGGCCCTTTCTCTCTCGGGCAGCCGCTATTTCTTAACCGTTGTAGACGACCACACGCGTGCGGTGTGGGTGTACCCTCTCAAGTCTAAGGGGGAGGTGGCAGCGGCTGTTCTTAAGGAGTGGATGCCGAGAGCTCAAAGGGAGAGCGGACACAAGGTAAAAGTGATCCGCACCGACAACGGGGGAGAGTTCATTGGCGCTGATTTTGAGGCAGTGCTGAAGAAGAAGGGCATTCAGCATCAGCTCACAGTGCCCTACAACCCGCAGCAGAATGGCGTGGCTGAGCGGTTCAACTGGACCCTGCAGGATGGTGTTCGCACTCTCCTTGGGCGCGCAGGGCTGCCGGATCCGTTTTGGGTGACTGCACTGAGGCAGGTCGCTCTTGTGCTGGCGACTGTGGGGGACAAGCAGTGGGTCCCCTACACCAAGTGGTATGGGAGTGCACCAGCAGTCAACATGCTAAGAGCCTACGGCTGCATGGTGGTGTTCCACGTGCAAGGAGAAGAGGGGAAAGTTGGAAGCTTCTGGGAGATGGGGTGTGCACTTGGGGCTTGCGAGAGATCACAAGGGCTGGTTGATATGGGACTTGACCAGCCAGCAGCTGACTGTGTCAAGGGATGTGAAGTTCCTTGAGTCCTTGTACTACAAGGAGTGGAAGCAGCAGCAGCAGAAGCTTCCTACTACACCGCTGATCATTGAGGCCGATGAGGTGCAGCGGCCTTCGAGGCAAGTGCAGGTCACTGTCTCAGAGGAGGAGATCTCTGGGGTGACTGAGGATGGGGGAGAACCTGAGGTGGATCAGCGGCACCAGCAGCTGCAACCGCAGCAGCAGCCGCAGCAGCAGCAGCAAGGTGCTCCACAAGGTGCCGCACGTTCGGCTGACCGTCCTAAGAGGGATGTGCGCCCTCCAAACCAGCTGACCTATCCATGCTTTGGCAAGCCAAGTGTGGTGCCGGCTGGGAGTGTGGCTGAGCAGATTTGTGAGGATGAGAAAGCCTTTTGCTGTGGGGATATTTTGCGAGAGTGTGGAGCTCAACGCTATGAGACAGAGGCTGCAGAGGGGTGCAGCTGATTTGAGCATGGGGGAGTTGCTCTTGACTTGCTACATCGATGCTAGTTTAAACTCTGTGAAGGCGGATGGCACCAGCATTGGAGGCTATGTGTGCCTGTTTGGAGGTGGTGCAGTGAGCTGGCACAGCAAGAAGCAGAATGAGGTGGGGCTGTCCTCGTGCGAGACAAAATGCATGGCCCTTCATCATGGGGCCAAGGAGGTGGTGTGGCTGAGGCGTTTGTTGGAGGAGATCGGTGTTGGTCAGAGGGAGCCGACTGTGATGTTCTGTGACAATGAGTCGGCAGTAAAGCATTGCGAAGAATGCTTGTCTTCATGGGCTGACCAAACACATCAGGCCTAAGTGGCATTGGGTGACGAGGCTCCTGGACAAGGAGGTGCAACTGGAGATTGTGAAGACCCAGCAGCAGGCGGCTGACATTCTCACCAAGCGCCTGGCTGAATCTGAGCATTGGAAGGGAATGAAACTTGCTGGGATTGGTGTGCGTTGAGGGTGCATGCTTGAGCTATGGCATGTGGGATGATGGTTGGCAGCCAGAGGGGGAGTTTGTTGTGTGATGCTATCATTCGCATTCACGTCTGTCTGCCTCCCATCATATGTTCGTACGTTGCATGCGTGGTGTGAGCGTGTGCAAGAATTTGTGTTTGGTGTGGTTTGGATTTTCTGAGTATGTGTGAATGTTATTTGGCTTGAGCAGATATTTGAAGTGACTCCTCTGCTCAAGAGCTTTCCGACGAACCAAGAATCGCCGCGATCGGAGCAAGAACGAGAAAGTTATTATCGTTCGAAGTTTTGATTGTGATGCGGCGACTTTGGGAATTTGTGGAGTGACTCTAAATGGGGTATAGACTTTTGGGGGTTGGGAAATTCGTCCCCATTACTGTAGATTGCTGCCAAATGGTTGGAAGAAGCCAAACCAGGTTGGCAAGTGTGGCCAAGTTGGGTGAGGTGGATGGCATGGGTTGGGAAAGTGACAAATGTCAAAGTTGGGGTGCCTATAGAGAGGGGAATTGTGTGGTATGGGGGTTTCCTCTGTTGGGGACTCCCTTGGGACCTTCCCTCTCGTCCTTCTCTTCCCTCCAACCTGGTTAGTAGCTACTCTAATTCTCTTTGTGACACTTGTGAGAACTCTTGTGATTGAGTTAAGCTTCTATTGCAGCATACCCAGCAGTGCGCCGAATTTAATATCTCACAATATACTCCACCTTTTCATGTGATTCAAATTGGGACTTGTAGCCACGGTCTAGTGCTACAACATATGCGGTTTTTGCGAGATTCCAACAGTGCAATTTTCGTCGACGACGTTTCTTGTGAACTCGACGATTCTGTCCAGAATTCCAAGCCAACGATTTTGAGAAATTTGGGCCCCTAATCTACATAGACTCCGTCCTTAGTCTCTAACACTTTCAGGATGCCATCTCTGCGTCCATGGCTGTCTGCCACTGAGAGGAGTAGGGACCCGAAATCGCCTCTGCGTAAGAGCGCGGGGTCGGGATGTCTAGTGCATCCGGGTCTCCCTCAGGTGCAAGCAGCATGGCCACGAGATGAGGTACAGCAGCCGCAAGAGACTTAAAGTCCTCCTGCCTGTCCTCAAGGACGTCCGTGCCAAGAGCACACTCACCCCCGACGGACGGAGGACAGACAGACTCAGACTCAGCAACGAGGCTAGTGGCGTAGTCTAGACGACACGCAGCAGCAAAGTCAACAAGCTCAGCAACTAAGGCAGACGCAGCAGTAGACTCAAACGACGGGTCAGTAACGACAGTAGCGAGGAGACGCGTGGCAGTGGGACTAGCAGCACGAACCAATTCAGACTCAGGGTTCAGAACGTCAGGAAGAGAGGACGCAGGAGGAGACGGCAGAGGGACGCGCTGTGGGACAGAGGAAGGACGAAGTGCCATAGTGTGAGTGCCTGGCACAGGAGGAGGACGCGGACGCGGGACACGATGAGCCCGGCGAGCCGCGCGAACATGGGAGGCAAGACGAGACGCAGGCTCACGACGCTCTGTAAGGGAGACCGGCTGCTCGGTGTAAGGAGGGGGGGCAGGCAGCGGTGAGTCTGGAGGAAGGGCAGTGGACGAAGGAAGACTAAGAACCTGACGGAGCACCGACTCGGGCGGTAGTGAGGACAGTTGCGGCGGCGGCAAGCAAAACGGGCACTGCTGCACAGTGCCCCCGGCACCAGTGCCTCCAGCTCCAACGCCTGCAGCTCAAGTGCCTCCAGCTCCAGCACCTCTAGCGCCAGCGCCTCTAGCGCAAGCGCCTCCAGTGTCAGAACCTCCAGCTCCTGCGCCTCCAGTGGTGTGACTGTGGTACTGTCGCGAAAGAAGCAGCGAGAAGCACCTGAGTCAAGCGTGAAGGTGTGCAAGGCCTCAGCAGGCGCAGTACCAGAGAGAGCAGACTCACTAGCACCTAGAGCAGCAGCCTCTATACCAGGGTCGGGCGGCACACACAGGTAACAGTCACCCTCAGTACCAGCAGTCAAAACATATATGGCAGTAAGAATAGCGTCTTAGCCTAGAGCAAATATATCCACTTTGTCCCGAAGCAGCTCTAGCCAGCGGGGGAGCTCAGCCTTGTTGCCAAACACTGCGTGCCAGGAGTCGCTCACACAGGCGAAGCAGTGGGATTGTGTGTGGCCAGGTGTCCCGCAAGTCTGACCTGCCCAAGCACCTGTGCGAATGACGTACGGGCAGCGAGCAGTACTCCGAGACGCACAACGCTGAGCATACGACTCATGGAGCTGCTGGGACGTAAGGGTCATGCGCGGAAGCCGCCGCAACTGCATCTGGCCACCACTAGAAACTCCCCACCGAGCAGCGCCACCGCGACTGTCACTACGGCCGTCGCCACCACTCCCACTGTTGCCACCACCGTCGCCACCACTCCCACCGCTACCACGAAGAGAAGTCATAGCAGGCAAAGTAAGGAGGCGTGTGACCAGCAGGGGCGTACGTAGGGAAGGGAGGGCGGCGAGTAGACACTAGGGTTAGCGCGCGCGCTGCAAGTAGGGCGGTGCGTAGGCAGGGGAGGGCGCGCGGGCAGGCAAGGGGCAGCGCGCGGGCTGTAAAGGGCGACGCGCGGGCCGCTAGGGCGGCTTGCGGGCTGCCAGGGGCGGTGCGCGAGCTGCAGGGCAGCGCGCGGCCAGCAGGGCGGCGCGCGGGTCGCGCGACGGGCAGGGAAGGGCCTACACGCGGCGCGTAGGCAGGGCAGGGCGCGCGCGGGCCGCACGGCGGGCAGGGCAGGGCGTACGCGCGGCGCGCGGGCAGGGCAGGGCGTGCGCGGGTCACGCGACGGGCAGGGCAGGGCATATGCGCGGCGTGCGGGCAGGCCAGGGCGTTTGTGGGTCGCACGGCGGGCAGGGCAGGGCGTACGTGCGGCGCGCGGGCAGGGCAGGGCGTGCGCGGGTCGCGCGACGGGCAGGGCAGGGCGTACGCGCGGCGCGCGACGCAGGCAGGGCGTGCGCGAGGCGGCGCGAAACAGGGCAGGGCGCGCGCGGGCAGCGCGACGCAGGTAGGGCGTGCGCGGGGCGACGCGACGCAGGGCAGGGCAGGGCAAGGCAGTGTAACGAGTGGGGCTACGCTACGAGCAGGAACGATCGGGTGGGCCCTAACGAAGGCGGTCCTGGAACAGGACCTGCTCTGATACCATGTCAGAATCTAGCAGCAGGAATGAATGCATTGATGAGAAAGTTGGTACAAGTACTAACCCTTATTGAGTTGTACCCCATATTGGCTACCCCACTACAGCCTACACAGCACAATGTTTTGACATTCCTTCCTACCTATCTTAACAGCCCCCTGTATCCCTCATACGGTACTCCTCCCCACGTCCCTTGTGCTACTCTTTCCTACTAAATCGAGGCCAGCGCATCGTCCAAACTGTCCTCGCTAATCTGACTCTGATACCGCATCTTCTCCCGGAGCTCAGCATCCACCTTCATGTAAGCCTTGTTGTGCACCTGCTCCTCTCCACCACACACCTTAGCACGCAGCGCATCCATCTCCTGGGCAATGCGCCCCATGGACGGCCGGTCGACAGTGAAGGTGGCACAGCAGCGCACCGCCACGTCTGCCATGTGCTGCAGGGCGTGTGGGGGAACGGGGCCAATGCGGGGATCTGCAATCTCTTCCACTGACCCCTCGCCCAGCTTCTCCTGAACCTGTGGGTGTTGGGGGGTGAGTGGTGAAGTGGGGTGGGAAGAGGTGGAAGGACATAAGAGAAGGTAAAGAAAGCACATTGGTAGCGGCTGCTGGGGTTGGGCGGGGAAGGGAGAGGGGGAGGTTGGGGGAGGAGGTGGGACAGAGCGGGTGCACTCAAGAGGCAATCGATAGAGCTGAACAGAGAGGGATAGGGAGAAGGGAGGGCAAGATGAGAATGCAGGAGGAGTAAGATGTGCATACCAAGTCAAGGATGTTCCAAGAGCGGTTGTCCGCTTCGAAGGTCACATGCCTGCACGTGAGCATTACCAGCATCAGAATTCCAAAACTGCCATACGTATGCACATGCGCACATTCACGCACCTAAAACATATGCACACACAGATGCATGTACATGGCAAAAAGGTGCAAAGATGCAAGAAGACAAGCAGATACGTCTCAAGCATTATAATGGCTGTGGTGGTTATTTCATCATCACGTGATGCCTCCGAGAGCGAAGCCTGTTAAGCCTGCTGCTAAAATGGATCCTGCTGCTGAACCTGCAGCTCTAAAGACTCCGGTGCCTGTGACTCATCGCCCGATCTCCGCGACTGCTGTCCCGCCAAAGTCTTCGCGCGCACTTTTCGCTGAAGATGAGACTGACTCCCTAACGCTCTCTGCCAAGCTTGCTATGATCAGGATCGAGTAAGCTGCAGGGGGAGGGAAGGAACCGAACAACGGCAAGAAGAAAGATGTGATTTTTAAGGATGCAGTCTCGTATGATCCAGAGGGTGATGCTGCTACTAAAAAGGAGGAGGGGGAGACCTCCGTTGCTGGTTCCCGCTACGACATCCTAAACGACGACGACGATGGTCTGATTGCGCACGACCCCAATGAAAGCTTCGAGGATAAGGCGTAGGTTGAGTTAGCGGCCAAGCTGAAATTTCCGCTTTCTTTGCTGATTCCTAACGAGCACATGCAGGAACTCCCATTCATGGAAGCGACTGTCAAGGGCTTGCTGGTGCTGTCGAAGCTTGATCTTATGGAGAATGCGGCTGTGACAACCAAGTGCCAGGAGCTTGCGCCGGCTTACCTCTCCAAGAAGCTATTTGGTCGCCTGCAATTTACCTTTGTCAATGCTGCTGACGCAAACTTCGTTTGGCGTCATGGTGTGGACCACCTGTGTAGGGATGGGAAATACGTCACCTTTGACTGGCATTACGCAGAGGACTCGAGCTATTCAAGGCAGAAAATGATGGATCCGGCGGTTATCGAAGTCTTGTTCATTGGTATTGCTGCAGAAATCTCCCCGGAGCTGCTTCATGAAGCACTGGTGAAGTCGACGCTGAAAATCTGTCAGAGGCTTGCTTTCAAGGACGGCTTCTACTTCCATCATGTTGTCAACCCTGTTTCGGGGCTGGACACAGATCGGGTGAAAGGTTTGGTGGTGGCTTTCGAGAATGACAAGTTCCACTAGAAGCACTTTTTCAAGAACCCGATCGCGCCTGGTACCAGGATTCTGGTCCACTATCCATCCCTGAAGTGTAGTCTATGCGGCGGTATGCACTCTGTGCACAACCACAACGACTTCATCACCATCCGGCAGAGCAACATCCCCAAATGGAACCTCACAGTGGGGAAAGTCCATGAGCTCAACGGTATAGAAGGATTTTGCTGCTTACCTGCTTGTGCTTCACCTTTTTCCGATTGGCCGTTGCCTGACTTCCATCTGCCGATTCCCCGTACATGCAGCTACTGCGACTGTAGCGACAGTTGCCACCAAGATCATCCTCAAGGACCCGGCTCTGGCTCTGGTCTCAACAGCTAGCAATCGGGAGGAGTGGGTCTGCCTGTTGGAGGGTTGCGAGAAGGGGTAGGGCTTGTCTTTCGAGCAGGCAGCGCATCATGCTCTCTCGCAGCGACACCGCGGGGGGTTGACGAAGCCTGGTGCAGCGATGCACGCACTCAAGGACAAGCTTAGCCTCCGCGTGCTGAAAAAGGAGTACGGAATCTAGTGGATGGATGAGGACAAGGAAGAGACAGGAGGTCGTTAGTATGCCAATGCTTATCAATGTATGCAATGCTATATAGTGCTAACCAGTAGTTTTTCAGATTTTTTACCTCAGCCCGTAGATGCTATGGGGATCCCGCGCGGTTGATTAATGGATAAGCCCTGCAACCTATCGGTGTGCAGGCTCAACATAAATGGGCTCAAGAGCAGGGGAAAGCAAAGGAACCTGAGATCCTGGATCAAAAGATATGCGAACATCTTTGTACTAACGGACACGAGAATCGCGCAGGACCATCGTTTCTGGAAAGACTTGAAGTACCGTCACCGCCACGCTGTCACAAATGTGGAAAGAGCGGGAGGAGTGGCTATCATTAGCATTAGTGCTCAACTCACCTTCGAAAACGTTATAGCACACGAGTCTCGCAGGCTGCTTCAGGCAGATGTCAGATGGGACACTTTTAACTTCACCTTGCTGGCAGCTTACTTCCCATCGAGTGCTTGCTGCCGGCAAAATTTCTTCACGAATTCGCTAGAGTCGTTCCTGAGCAACCTGAATGGCAAGAGCCGTCTCCTCTTGGTGGGGGATCTTAATCTGATTAAGGACCTGACGCTAGACAAGTCCTCCGGTGTTGGCTCGTGCGGGGAGAACGATAGACTGTTACGAATGTTCAGCGGCTTCCATATGGTGGACGCGTACCGCGCGCTGAACCCGAATGGCCAAGAATACACCTTTTTTTCACGGTCGCAGAAGGCAAGTACGAGAATTGATCGGTCTCTGGTGTCGGCGGAGCTGCTCCCGGCAATGGCGGAGGCTTTCCATTCCAAGTCGTTAAGGGGGGATCTCGGAGCACAAGTTTGGAGTCAAGGTGGTACTGCGAACCTGTGCCTCCACATGGGCCCTGACCTGTGGCGTATGCCTGCGGTGGACACATCAAAGTCGGGGGTGGAGAAAGTGGTACAAGCGGTTACGGAGCGGCATCGTGCTAACCAAGCTCGAGGTGGCTCTGAGAAGATACACCACTGAGGAGCGGAAGCGGATACGGGCAACGCTACGTCACCTGGAGGAGGCGGTGGAGATGTTGCAGCATGCGGTAATGCGGGATCTGGAGAATCAGGGCCTGAGAGCGGAACTGTGGGTGAAGGCGGACTGGTCGGAAGAGGAGGTGAAGGAAGCGTTGAAGGAGATGGTGAATGACGAGGCCCCTGGCGGAGATGGGCTGCCGAAGGAGCTTTTCGAACGTCACTGGAACCTGTTAGGGAAGGATTTCATGGGGTTCATAAGGGACTTTGAGGCTGCAACGTCCCTGCTGGAGGAGGTACAAGAAGCTGTAACCATCTTGTTGCATAAAAAAGGTCCAAAGGAGCAGATACAGAACTACAGACCAATCACACTGCTTACCAGCTCCTACAAGGTGGTGGCGAAGCTGTTGGCCAACCGGATGAAGAGGGCACTGGACAGGGTCATCTCCAAGGAGCAGTGCGGGTTTCTCCCAGGGAGAAGGCTGTCAGATGCGGTGTCGCTGGTAGCAGATGTGATTGAAGCAGCAAAGAACGACAACAAGGACTGGTACATCCTAATGGTGGATTTCCAAAAGGCCTTTGATTCAGTCTTCCGCACGTACCTCTTCGATACCATGACGCTCATGTGCTTCCCGGAAAAGTTTGTCCGATGGTGTAAAGGGCTCCATGATGGGTCTTTCACGCGGTTGCTTGTCAACTGCTGGCTGGGGGACCAAGTTGAGGTTGGCAAGGGAGTCCGGCAGGGCTGCCCGCTGGCGCCCTATCTCTTCCTGTGCGCCGTGGAGCCAATCTGCCATGAGGCAAAGAGGCAGAAGTTAGGGATAGGCAATGCTTACGGGGAAAGGCTACCTTATTTGGGGTACGCAGATGACATGACGCTGATTTTAAACGAGAAGCGGCAGATTGGTCAGGAGGAGAAGCTCTTGGAGGACTTGGGTGCTCGTTCGGGGCTCAGGGTCAACAAGGAGAAATCGGAGCTGCTCCCGCAGGGGAAAAACCTGAATCGCAAAAAAGACGACGAGTCAGCTTTCGCGTGGGTTGATCCAAAAGATGCGGAAAGGCTGCTGGGGGTCTGGGTCTCCCCCTCGGGAAGTGCGGACGTTACATGGGACAAAACACTGGCCAGGGCAGCTAGGGAATTGCTGAGGTGGCAATCCCACCATCTGACGACGACGGCGCGGGTGGCTGTGATCAACTGCTACGTCTGCCCAATACTGTCCTTTCAAGGGCAAGTGTACCCCCCCTCGGAGGCGATCTGGAAGCGAATCATGAAGCTGCTGGTTAAATTCATCTCAGAAAATCAAGCCTCGGAGGAACACCATTTCACGCTCTGGAGCATGGAGCTGATCTTCAAGCCACGGAAGGAAGGGGGACTGGGCGACAGAGACCCTTTCACGGAGCTCTAGGGCCTAGCAGCGAGAAGGGTTGGGATCATCGTGTTTGGCAGCGTTTTCCGAAGAGAGTTGGCGCTGGCAGCAGCGGATCTCCCGGATGGCTTCTGCTCCTTCTAGGCGCATGAGGATTTCCTGAAACAGTGGAAGGGAAGAAGTGTTAGATGGCGGCAGACGCGTGAGATGTTTATGAAATCAAAAATCTCGGGACAAGGGCCGAAATCGAGGTGGGACATCGAGCTGGAACCTTTGGCCTTCAATCGTCAAATATTACCGAGCGGGAAGAAGCCGGTGGGGAGTCAGAAGGCGGCGAAAGGGCTGGAAGTGTACAAGCTGAAGGACCTGATATGCGCTGCACGGGACGGGACAAGAGCCATAAAAACCCTGGAGACTCTGACGGGGGAGATGGGTGCCAAAAAGACAGCAAAGCGGACGATGAAGGCTTTTGAATGCATCCCGGAGGTCTGGAAGCAGAAACTCCTGGCGCCGCTAGCGGTGGCTGAGCAGCTGGCAGAGTCAGAGTATGTGAAGGTGGCGGGAGCCATTGAGCCCTGGAAAATTGACAGAGTGGAGCAAGGGAGGCTAGTCTGCCGAGAATGTGACTGCACGGGGACGCCACTGGAAGGAGAAGCGGAAAGGTCTGCCTCATTGGACCCGAACACGGTGCAACCGCTGATTGTTCGGAAGGGTCGGGTGGTTGGAGCGGCGGGCCTGCCCGAGGTGAGGCTGAGGGATTCGGAGCTATGCGCGGATGGTCAATGTCCCCCTTTCAAGTTCTTACGGGGGCTGTTTGAGGAGCCGCATGGGGAGGCGCGGCAGCATGCAAAGTGGGCGAAAGAATTGGGGAAGCAGATTGACTGGACCAGTACTATCAGGGTCCGAGACTCACCAGTTCTGCCAAACCGGGCGCGGGACTTTTTGCTTCGGCTACACTGTCGGAACCTCTAGGTTGGGGTACGGCTGCGCTTCCTGGAGGGGGGTGCTGTGTCCGCACTGAAAGCGCTGCGAATGCTCAACCCTTTTAGGAGGATACGGTCTCTGGAGGACCTGCTTTTTCAGAAGGAAGCGACAAAGTCAGGTTTTCCAGAAACCACGATCATTGCTATTACTCTCCACAAGCTGTGGGTGGAGAGGTGTGACGCAGCTTTTGACCGTGGCCAGTTCCGGTCCAGAAGGGTCTCACGCAAAATCGCAACAGCTTTTTACACGCACATGAGGATTTATCTGAGGGCGAGGAAAAAAAAAATCGGGCAGGAGGAGCAGATGGTCTTGGTCAGCGCTCAATCCTGGAGCCGCTGGACCCAGACGGATTTCGGACGTTGGGCATGATCTGTGACAAGTTGCTTGCGTGGACGCATGGCTTCACCTCCATCTGGGCCAACCCGTGCACGATCCATCATCCCCCTTAAGGATCGGGATGGTTACGACAGCATAAGTTGTCTAGGCCCGTCAGCCACAGTTACGATTGTAAAAGCTTGTATGCACCTTCATAGTGTACATGTTAAAAAAAAAACATAAATCTCTTTACCATTTTAAACATGATTTTAATTTTAAACTGTACGTGCGCTATAAAAAGTTAAGGGTTTATAAGGGGGCGCTTATAATCCAGTTTTGGCCATAAGCGCCATGCTCCAAATATAAGCGCCGGCGCCTTTAATCGGACGGCACCTATATCTGGGGCCATACGGTACGTATTCGAAGCGCATGCGCGTAAAAATTTACTCAATGAGCTCACCCCCTAAAAATACGTGCTTCATTAGAAGCGCAGGTGCAATTATATCCGGGTAAACACGGTATGCTGCGAATGTTCATCACATATTTCCATTGTCCAATCGTCATCGCTTCCAGTCCCTCTCTCGTCCGGTCTCGACCTGCCTCTCAAATCCAGGAGGCAACACCTCCCCTTCTTGCGGCCGTTCCGCACCTTCATGGGAGTTTTCCTGCTGCCTGCCTTCATACCTCTGTTCACTGTAATGGGAATAGCCACCCCGATGACTATGCCCATGCCCATGCACATGCCCATGCACATGCCTATGCCCATGGCCCTGCCTGTGCCCACTTCTGCGCGTGCCCTCATGCCGGGTGGCCATGCACTCCTCCCCTCCCCCACCTCCCCACCCCACCTCTCATCTGACAGCCCCTGCACCCCACTACCACCCGTGCCACGCTCCCACCTGTCAACCGCCGCGCCACTGCTGCCAGCAGCAGAGCCTCCACCCTGCTCCCCTCTCATGCCTCCACCCTGCTCCCCTCTCCTGCCTCCACCCTGCTCCCCTCTCCTGCCTCCACCCTGCTCCCCTCTCCTGCCTCCACCCTGCTCCCCTCTCCTGCCTCCACCCTGCTCCCCTCTCCTGGCTCCAGCAGAGCAGAAGTCATTTCAAGAGGGAGTGCGGCGAGGAGAATGGCGGTGGGGGGGGTGTCGTCGGGGAGGGGAGGAACGGTGGGGGACAGTGGAGGCGAGGGAGGGGAGGAGGGTGGGGGCAAAGGAGTCGGAGGAGAGGAAGCATCCGCGCTGCTTCGCATCGTCAATGAGCGCTTCCCATGCGGGCGATCGCTGCAGCGATGCTGCGTTGCCAAGAATCTGCATGGCACATGGCGCAGTGGGCAGGGAGCAGGGAGCAGGGAGCAGGGGCCAATAGGCAGGGGGCAGGGCAGGGAGTGCTGAGGAGGGTAAGACGCAGAAGTAGGCAGAACAGGCGCACACTTGAGTGTGCCATGCATCCTGTGCTCCTAGTGGCTTGTTGCAGGCACAGGCGTGCACCAGCCAATGTTCCCCTCCATGACAGTGAAGGTAGCACGAGGCGGGTTGAGAGAGGGGTGTGAATGCAGAGAGGAGAGGGTCAGGCAGAGGTGGGCTGACCCAGAGGGTCAGGCAGAGGTGGGCTGACCCAGAGGGTCGGGCAGAGGTGGGCTGACCCAGAGGGTCGGGCAGAGGTGGGCTGACCCAGAGGGTCGGGCAGAGGTGGGCTGACCCAGAGGGTCGGGCAGAGGTGGGCTGACCCAGAGGGTCGGGCAGAGGTGGGCTGACCCAGAGGGTCGGGCAGAGGTGGGCTGACCCAGAGGGTCGGGCAGAGGTGGGCTGACCCAGAGGGAGCGCTTGGCGCATGTGATGGCGGCGTTCATGAGCGTGGGGCATGCAGGTAGAGCAGGAGGGGGGGTGGGGGGGGAATGGAGAGGGGAAGGGTGAGCTCACCCAGAGGGAGCGCTTGGCGCGTGTGATGGCGACGTTCATGCGGCGCACGTCGGCCACGAAGCCCAGACCGCGCGTGGAGGCGCGCACGCAGGAGAGGATGATGGCGTCGCGCTCCTGCCCCTGGAAGGCGTCCACCGTGTTCACGTACAGCGCCGCCCCGCCCACCGCCACTGCTGCCAGACGGCCGTGGGGGCCCGGCAGCAGCAGGGGCAGGGGGTGTTGGTGTGGCGAGGAGGCCGGTATGCCACTCCTGGCTTGCAGCACTGCCTGGGTCTGGCGCTCCCTGCCTCTGCTGCTGCTGCTGGTCGTGGTGCTGCGCTTGGATGGCAGCAGCATTCCCTGCCGCTTGCTCCGCAGCAGTGGCAGGGGCGGCAGGCAGGGGCAGTGGGGGCGGGGGGGCGGAGCGGGCGAGCTGGTCGAAGGAGCTGGCGTCACCACCCCCACTGGCACTGGCCCTGTGGCGCCCACTGCTGCACTCACCTCCTGCAGCCGCTGCCAGGGGGGCAGAGGCGAAGGCACATGGGGAGAGGGGACAGATGGAAAACAGAGCGGATGGGTGGGGGGCTGTGAGGAGCAAATGAAGAATGGCGAAGTTGAAAGGTGTGCAATGTGTGTACCTGAAAGAGCACAACGTCGACAACGGATGGAAACGAAGTCGCATGGGGAGGAAGGAAAAAAGAAGAGCAAACACATTGAATATGTTGAACCAGGCTGTGACATCTCTACTTGCAGGGCCAGGCAGTGACACCGCTAATTGCAGTGTTTGGAAGGAGGCATGACTTGTGAATGCACCTGGAAGAGCGCGACAGCAAGCGCGGCCTCGGTGGTGTTCTGGTACGACACGGAGCACTCGCCGTGCGACTCGCGGCCCGCGCTGACGTCAAAGAAGAGAAGCGGGCGCAACAGCGGGTCGGCGTGGTACGGCTCATCCGGCAGCGCGGTGACGGCGGGTGCGTCGGTGAGGCGGTCGCTGTAGAAGTAGCGGCTGGGGAAGGCGCGGATGGCCGGGTGCATGCGGTACTGCTCTGTCAGCAGCAGCGTTGGACAGCCCGCCCTCTGGAATCGCTCCAGCAGCGAGCGACTGGGGGTGCAGGCATGGGTAGGCATGGGTAGGCATGGGGAGGCAGCCCTTGGGAAAGTCATGGGCTGGAAGGGGTGAAGGGCAATGCACAGATAATGTAGGAATGGAAATCCAGATAGCGAAGCCAAACATGAAAGATCACTGATAGACGCATGTAATGCAGGGAGGGCGGTGCACCTGTAGTCGAGTGAGGAGGCAAGGCGGCTGATGACGGTGGCGGGCAGCTGCTGGGGGTCGCCCACGAGCACACAGCGCTGGCAGCGCAGCGTGAGGGGGGGAAGCGGCGCCATCTCACTGGCCTGCGCCGCCTCGTCAAACACATCCAGGGTGTGGACCGAGTCCACGGAGGCCGGAGGGAAGGGGGGGGGGGGGGGGATTCTCGACCATCCCGGGTGGGGACCGCATCCGCCCGGGTCGGGTGGGGGTCCGGACCATCTTGGGTGGGGACCGCATCAACCCGGGTAGGGTGGGGGACCGGACCATCCCGGGTGGGAACCGGGTCCACACAGGCCGGGTGGGGGGTCCAGACCATCCCAGGTGGGGATCGGATCCAACGGGGCGGGGTGGGGGTTCCGGACCACCCCGGGTGGGAACCGGGTCCACCCGGGCAGGGTGGGGGGTCCGGTCCATCCCGGGTTGAAACCGGGTCCACCCAGGCCGGGTGGGGGTCCAGACCATCCCGGGTGGGAACCGGACCCACCCGGGTCGGGTGGGGGGTCCGGACCATCCAGGGCGGGAACC